TCGGGGTAAGTAACAGCTGCGGCGATGAGGCGGCCGAGGCAGGGGCGCGATGTCACCCGCCTCTCTCGGACAGCGTGCTAGACTACTTGAATGACCCTGTGAGGTTGTCTGAAGCGGTCGCCACCCTAACGGCCAACCTCCTGGACTTCTGGCACAGGATCAACATCAGGTCGGACATGTCCTCCTACAGGCGGATGTTGGAAGAGCAATGAAACATAACCAAACAAACTCACAACTGATCAATCATTGTGAAAACATCGTCCCCCATATATCCCTCGTGGTTCGGCAGGGTGCAGCATCCAACGACTTGCTGCACAGCAGGTTCATAAGTTGCAAGGAGCATCGCCCTCGCTGAACGGGCGCTCTCCGTAGCTGCAGCGGGCTGAGACCACTTGGATGGGTCCAGCTTCGATTGTATAGAGACCATCGTCCCCTATAGTTATAATTATATATATATATGTGTATCAAAATAAAAATCTGTATATGTATAGACATGAGTGCTCCTGCTGCACAAGGATGCGCCCGACTGAAGACCACCCTGGGGGCGCCCTCCGCCGCCGGGGCCTTCTCGGGACCGGCCCTCCCGGCACTCCCGGGGCTGGGCGGGCAAGCTCTGGCAGGGTAGCGAGTGCCTCTGGAGCTCTCGAGCCGTCTCGCTTCCTCCCCCTCCTCCTCCTCCTCCTCCTCCTCCTCCTCCTCCTCCTTCTCTTCCTCCTCCTCCTTCTCTTCATCCTTTTCCCCCTCCTCCTCCCTCTCCTGCTCCGCCGCCTCTTCCTCCTGCGTCTTATCCTCCTCCTTCTCCTCCTGCAGCTCCCTCCCCCCTATCGGGGGTTGTTCCAACGCCTCAAGGTCAGCCCGCAGAAACTGCCGGCCCTGGGGTTGCCGCTGCGTCGCTGCGGGCTGCCAGCGATGGCAGCTTCGCTTTTCCCCCCCCCCCCCCCCCCCAACTCTGTTTCTTTTACACTGCGGGGGGGCAGCTGCGAGGTCTGGCTGGCCCCTGCGCGCTCTGCCCCCAGGCTCGCGCGCGGATCCAGATCGAGGCAAGACGTCTTGGTCTGCGGGTTACTCTCGCCGCAGAGAAGTCTGGGCCGGACCCTGCAATGGGCCTCCACCCCGAGCGCATGGGGGGGTCTGTGGATCTAAACGGGCTGGGCACTCTTTACCGCGCCGCTCGCCGCTGCCTCTCCTGCTGACGAGGAAGAGCAAGGTCCCCAGGAGCCTCCTGAGCCCTTGGAGGGATCACCCGCTCCCCCGCCCGAGGAGGACTTGTGCGATTCTGACGCGGACGAAGAAGCCGCGCGTTTTTTGCATGACGAGCCTCCCCTCTTCCTCTTGGTGGCGGATGGTCCGAATGTTCGCTCCCCGGCCGATCCCCATCCCGAGGAGCAACAGGAACGCAGAGTTTCTTGCCTTGCAGCCTCGCTGCTTCGCACGGCCCGGCGGTCTCTGGCGGAACGTAGCGACGAAAGTTCCGAGCGCGAGTCAAGAGGGGATCGCAAAAGCACCACCATCTCTTGCGCAAGAGGGGCGTAATTTTTCTATTCGTCGCTGGGTGCGGGAGGTGTGCAACCGATACTCGCGACGCAGGCCGTCTGAGCACTCGTCGTCGGGTCTCGCCCTGGGCTCCTCCTGGGGGGGGGGCCTTCCGGGTGCGGCCGCCTCCCTCGTGCACCGCGCCTCTCAGCGCTGCGAGAGGAGGAGGCTCCTGCTCCGCCAGGAGGAGGAGGAGGAGGAGGAGGAGGAGGAGGAGGGGGAGGAGGAGGAGGAGGAGGAGGAGGAGGAGGGGAGGAGGAGGAGGAGGAGGAGGGGGGTAGGAGGAGGAGGTGCCAGCCGAGAGGGTGGTTCTGCCTCGGACTGGCCTGCGCCCTCGTGCGTGGGTGCGGCCCTTCCAAGCGCCTGCTGCGTCTCGTGGCGCCACGCGCTCGGCTGAAGGGCCACCCGCCAGGGGTCTCTGACCTGGGCCTCCCTGCTGGGCGGGGCCCCAGGGCACCCAGGCTTCGGCACCATCCTTGTCCGCCCAGCTTGCTTTTGCAGGAGGGCCTGGGGCCATCTTGCCCTCTGAGGTCCTTGGCCGAGGATGTAAAAAACACCATCCTCCTCCTACTCCTTTTCTTCCCTCCTCCTCCTCCTCCTCCTCCTGCGCCTCCTCGTCTTCTTCTTCTCCTTCTTCTTCTTCTTCCACCCCTTTTTCGAATAAATGATTCCTTCATTTCGCACCTCGAGACGTGTAGGTAGGGCGGACCGGGCGGTTCGCCTGAGACTTCCTCACCATCTATGATCCTCCAGCAAAAAATTGCAACAATTTTACGGATGGAGGGCACACGGCTATCAACATGTGACTCTCGCCTGAGCGCCGCGCGCATCCGTCATAACACTTTGCAAGAGTCTCACGGATGGAATGCGGGCGGCGTTCAAAAATAAGTGCTCTCGCTTCAGCACCGATCACAATTGTCTTACACGTATGCAAGTGTTTCACGGACGAAACGCGGTTTCTGTTCAAAGTGTGGCTCTCGCTTCAGCGCCGCGCACATGCGTCTTAAGAGCTTGAAGTACGTGCAAGGATTCTTCTGGCTGTCGTCCCAGACATGGTATTTTGGCACGGTGTAGGACTGTCAGGGCGCACGAGTCGCGTCGATATGCGGTGCTGAAGTCCCACGGATGGTGTTCTGGCGCAGTTCAAGATCGTCAGGACGCAGCAGCAACGTTCACTCGCGGCGTTGATGTCCCAGGAAAGGTGTTTCAACACGGTTCATGATTTTCCAAAAGCTTGTCTTCCAGTGGGGCACTTCCCTCAGTGCAGATCGATTCTTGTAGGGACCTGTGAAGAGGGAGCTTGGGGGGAGGGTGTATTGCAACATTGTTGGTGGGTCATGCGCTGCACTTGTCGTCCTCCTCCTCCTCCTCCTCTTCCACCTCTTCCTCCTCCTCCTCCTCCTCCTCCTCCTCGGACGTTTCGCCATTTCGGTGTGCGGCAGGCATCTCGGGGCCTCAGGACTGTCAACACCAAGAGGGGGTCGAGATATCTAGGGGCCGAGAAAGAGGACGAGGAGGAGGAGGTGGAGGATGACCAACCGGAGGAGGAGAAGGAGGAGGAGGAGGAGGAGGAGGAGGAGGAGGAGGAGGTAGGATGATGATGATGGTGACGAGGAGGAGGATGAGGAGCATTCGGAGCATTCGGACCCAAGAAGGCGAGCGTAGGACCTCAACCCTCTAACCTCTGTCATCCTCTTCCTCGCCAGACTGGCGACTTCGTGGCTTTGAGTGCGACCCGCTGGACCTCTCGACCACTCTCTTGGAGCCCGTTTTTCAGCGCCGGTCGGTTCTTTGTGCTCAAGGCCCCGGGACGCTCCAAACGGCGATAATCTCCGCCCTGCTTTTTGCCCGCAAAGGTCGCACCACGGACCTGTCTCCAGGGCCGCATTCTTTTTTTTTGTTTTCTAGATCTCCAGGGCCGCATTCTGAATATGAATTCGAGGGCGGTCCAACTGTGCCGACGAGGAATCTTCCAGAGGCTGGGCTGGGGCCCAAGCCCACGGACGCACATGGCCAACATGCAGCCAGGAGCAGGAGCCTTCCCAAAAGGTAAGCTGTGAGGCGCAAGAACCACAGGGCAATCCATATGGTGCGCAAGCCGTTGTATACTATCTAGTAGTGGCGTGCCTGGCGCACCCAGTGCGATGCGATATGCGCGGTGCGCTACGACGAAGGAGGGGGGGAGGACCTGTAGACGAGCTCACGATGGGCGCCCCGAGCGTGGACGCGGAGCCGGCTGGCTCTGTCGCGTTCACAACGCCCATCTGTGATATCTGGTTCTTAGACATACACGCCTGCGCCTTGCCCGCGCAACCGGAACGTATCGGCATGTCCGCGGACCAATGCGGCCTCGACATCCCATCCATCAGTGCAATTTGCCAGAACATGCTTGCCGCGAGGAGGGGCGTGAGGAGAGGGGCGGGAGACGGGAGTAGGGCGGAAGGAGGATAGGAGGGAGACGGGAGTAGGGCGGGAGTAGGGAGTAGGGCGGGAGTAGGACGGGAGTAGGGAGTAGGGAGACGGGAGTAGGGCGGGAGGCGCGGCAGAGAACGCGGGGGCCAGGGAGACATGGAGAGAGCACGGAGGACAGCCGGATGGGAGGGAGTAGGGCGACGGAGCATGAAGGATGATGAACACGCAGAGGATGGGGGGGGGGGCGAGGGAAGGGGCGGGGCGAGGGAAGGAGGGGGTCGAGGATGGGGGCGGGGCGAGGGAGGGGGGATGAAACTGGCGTCGAGTATAGCCCCGTCGCGAACGGCCTGGCCCGACAGGCCGTTGCTGCCAGGGCTTCGGCGCAGGAGCTGGGCAAACCCGCGCTGGCGCTGGCGGCGAACGTCATGGGTCTGGGAAGCAGGTCGTGCAAACGTAGCACGTAGCCGCAACCGGTCCACGTCATTGGCGCCTCCTTCGCTGGACCTCCCAAAAGCTCACGAAGGTGGCGACCGTTGCACAGCCGGCATCCCCCAAGCAAGGCGAGGTCCTGGTTTGGGCGCGCGTAGTCTCGCGTTCCGCTGGAGCTCTCAGGAGCCCGCGGAAGTGGCGGCAGCTGCCCAGCGGGAGGCACCCAGGGAGGCAAGGTGGGAGGCAGGGAGCGGAAGGCAGGACGCAGCGGGGGGGTGCCCTCGGGCCTCCTCCTGCCTCCTCCTGCCTCCTTTTTTTGCTTCTCCTCCTGCTCCTGCTCCTGCTGCTCCTCCTCCTCCTCGTCCTCGTCCTCCTCCTCGTCCTCCTCCTGCCTCCTCCTCCTCCTCTTCCTCCCCCTCCTCCTTTCCTGCCTCCTCCTCCTCCTGCTCCTGCCTCCTCCTGCTCCTGCTCCTGCTCCTGCTCCTCCTCCTCCTCCTCCTCCTCCTCCTCCTCCCCCTTCTCATCCTACCTCCTCCTCCTCCTCATCCTCCTGCTCATCCTGCTCCCCCTCCTCCTGCCTCTTCCTCGTACTCCTGTTTCCGTCGGCGGGGGCAAATGCCGCGCACCTCGCGGACAATGCTCTGCTTGGTCCACTTGTAGTTGGCGGTACCGTTCTCCTCGCGCCGTGATGTCCTTCCTCCCTGCCTCCGTCCCTTCCTCCCTGCCTCCACCTCCAAAGTTCTCCCCCTCGTCGTCGTCGTCGTCGTCGTCGTCGTCGTCGTCGTCGTCGTCGTCGTCTGCTTTCTTGTTTTACGTATAACTCTTCTTATTTGTGTTATTCTTCTGATTCGTCCTTCTCCTCCTCCTCCTCCTCCTCCTCCTCCTTTCTTGCCTCTTTTCCTCCCCCTCGCTTGGCTCCTCTTGCTTATGTTTCTCATCCTCTTCCTTCTCTCCTCCCCCATCATTATCCTTCCCCGTCTCCCTCAAGGATCGAAGCACGAGGTTGTTGAGCGTCGTAGTTTCTTTCGGCCTCTGGGGGCCTCTGGAGACCTCCTCCTCCTCGCTTGCTGCTGCTGCTGCTGCCCCCCCCTCCTCCTCCTCCTCCTCCTCCTCCTCCTCCTCCTCCTCCTCCTCCCCTCCTCCTCCTCCTCCTCCTCCTCCTCCTCCTCCTCCTCCTCCTCCTCCTCCTCCTCCCTCTCCTCCTCCTCCTCCCTCCTCCTCCTCCTCCTCCTCCTCCTCCTCCTCCTCCTCCTGCGCCACCAGGCGCGCAGGAGCGAGCGCGGGAGGGGTCACGGGACAGAACCAACAAGGCAGACCCTGGGGGGTCACAGAAGAGCACCCGATATTCGATCTTGCATCTCTCACTTTCGGCTGTGCCAGTCAGTCAATGACGAACGATCAACACACACCCATACCCATAGGGGGGTCGTTGAGAGGAGGACTGGCTATGGGTATGGGTGCGGGTTGTCGGACCCTGGGGAACGCTCCCGTTCGAGCGGGGACCCCCATTCGACAACACGCACCCATAGCCCTCTCCGACCCCCCTATGGGTATGGGTGTGTGTGTGTGTGTGTGTGTGTTGTCGGTTCGTCAGTCAAGGTCCTGCAAAGTCGGCTCTGCTGCTCCTGCCCCCCCCCACTGTGGCCCGAGGGGTGGTCAAGAAGGCCGCGGTCCTTTCGCTGGCAGATAACGAGCGAGCTGGAGCCGCCGTCTATACAGAAGAGCTCGCCCTCGATCTCCTCTGGGGATACCAACAGGTACCTTTCCCGCTGCCCCGCGGACCTCTCCCGCGGTGCGTTCCGACCAGAATTTCGAGGCGGTTCCAGCGGTGACCACGAGGGCTTTCCCAGAGGCAGAAAAATTGGAAAACGGGCGACGGGTAGTGGAATGGATACCCTTTCCTCCTCTGATCCTCGCCGAAGGTATTCACTATCCTGACCTGGGCGCCCACTATGCTGTCGGTGATGCGTGGCGACGCCGACATGCCCCCGCAGGCTCACGGGGGCGAAGCGGCGGGGCAAAGCGGCGCTCCTGGGCTCTGCTCCGGAGCCCCGGGTCGGGGGGCTCCGTGGAGCCCAAAATGGCTAGAGAGAAGATACGGGGCCGCTCGGAACTGCTGGAGGCACTCCTCCCTCCTCCTTCTCCTCCTCCTCTTCCTCCTCCTCCTCCTCTTCCTCCTCGTCTCCTCCTCCTCCTCCTCCTCCTCCTCGTCTCCTCCTCCTCCTCCTCCTTCTCCTCCTCCTTTTCCTCCCTCAAACCACAGTGGCCCGAACCATTGTGGCGGGGCTAATTCTCCAGCGCTTTCGCGCAACGCTGGAGGAACTTTGCCCACGCACCCTGCCGTGGGATCGTGTGGCACCGCCCGGAGCAGGTGAGAACAATCATAGCAATGGCGACCTCGCGTGGATTTCGCGCTTGGACGCGCTGCAGCAGCTGCAACACATGTGAATACAACGACGTGCTCGTGAAACAAATGTGCAAGTGCACGTTGTGCCAGGCTGCTCAAACCTCGTGGTTCTAAGGCTCGTGTGCAGTTCGACGACCAGGTCTCGATCACAGATCAGGAGGGCGCCTTCATGGTGCATCCTAAGGGCGTCTTCCGATCGCGCAGCATGTCCCCCGCTGGCGGAGCGGGCAGATGCAACAACCAGCAGCCTGACGAGGAGGCCGTGCTCACCCTTCTCCAGAGGGCCGCAGAGGCAGCGGATAATCAGGACCTTCGGAACTCGCCGCGGGAGGCGGTGAAGAAGCTCGAGGATGAGGCAGCCATCGCCAGGACGAACGAACCGATCTCCGAAGTAGGGTTGCTTCGCCGTGCAGACGGAATGTTTCGAGATGCTGATCATAAGCGCGACCAAGCTGTGTCCAACCTTGTGTGCCTGAGGACGGCTGTCACAGTTGCGGAGCTCAACGAGCGGGACGCGGCCAAAACTCTGGGCTGAAGCTTCGCGGGCGCGGCGAGCAGCCGCGCGAGCCATGGCTCACGCCGAGGGCGTTGGAGCTGAGGCCGCCGCGAAGCCTGCCGACGGCGACGGCGAATCGAAGCTGTCCCAGGTCGTCCGGGATCCATGTTCTTCTTCGGCTCCCTGGAGGCCCTGGAGTGCGAAGGGAATGGAAAGAAAGGCTTGCGGAGATTCGCCAGCAGCTGGTGGCTCCAGAAGAAGAAGAGGGAACTCCAAGGACAACAGAACTCGGAGAGGGCTCACGCAGATGGACGAGCGCAAGGAGGCCATCTAGTTGAGGATGTCCAAGCAACGGTCCACATGTGCAGAGGGTAGTCTGCTGCGCCTGATGATGGTGCGCGGGGAGCCGCCGAGGGCGCCCCCGCCCACAAGACGCCCCCGCGGCTGCCGCCGCCGCGGAGGGCGCCGGGAGGCCCCGCGGCCTCGCCCTCGCGCTGCGGATGCCACGGCACGGACGGGGAGGCCGAGGTGCAGCCCTGCGACGACTTGCAAGAGCTGCGACATCAGCTGCAGTCCCATGTGCATGTCAGGATCTGAAACAGCCCCTGGTTTGGACGCTGGGGAAATCCAATGTTCGCACCAGCTCTCTGGCTATCTGCCGCGGCGTAAAGCACAACGAGCCAACAGCGCACCCGGCAACGCTAATTCCCGGGCGCACAGCGCCTGTCGGAGGCCAAGCTCAAGGCGGAGACGCCGTTGCAGAAAGGGCAAGCAAGCTGGCAAAGGGCAAGGCGCAGGACGGACTAATCTTCCGTGCCTGGACAACCTCCCCGGTCCGCCATGGTTTTGAAGACGAGGGGGGGACTTGCATCGGCCTGTGCTACTCCAGCGTTTCTTGCGCGGGGGATGAGGCGTGGCCATTTGTGGAGCAGCATGCAGCGCAGTACGGCCTGTTCGCTCGTATCGGAACGCACCTTCATTCTGCATCAGGTCTTCGCAAGCGGGCTACGAAGGCGCATGACTTCCCACCAGCCCATTGGGCGACACGTGGTCTAACGAGATTCCTCTTCCCTCTTCCAAAAACCCCATCTTCCCCTACGGGGAGGGGTTTGCCCCTCCCCCCTCCCCCCCCCCCTCACCCCTCCCCTGGACTTTTTTGGGGAGCCCCGCGAGGTGTCAGGAAGTCCAAAATGGCCTCGGCGAGGAAGCCCAAATCATGGGTTTCACTAGGGTTTTGGCTCCATTTTGACCTCTTTGGGAGGGGGGGGAACGCACATTATCCCACCAGCCCTCTGGGCGCCAACATCATTGGCTTTACCACGGTTTGGCCCCCATTTTGGCCTCGTTGGGAGGGGGCTGAACGTTATCCCACCAACCCTCTGGGCGCCAAAATCATTGGTTTTGCTATGGTTTTAGCTTCATGTTGGCCTCTTTCGGGGGGGGGGGCTGAACGTTATCCCAACTCCTCCTTTGATCGACGGCCTTCGAGATGGCCTCAAGAGGCATGCAACCAAGACGGCCTGAGATGGTTTTTAGATGGCCTACGACGGCCCAGGAAACCCCCCAAGAGGCCTCCAAGACGGCCCAAGAGGCCTCCAAGAGGTCCTCCAGGAAGGGCCGAAGAGGCCAACACCGTTGATTCCCCGCAGGTTTTTGGCAGGTTGTGGCGTTGGCTTCTTTTCGACAGTCCGACGGCTCAGGACGGCCCAGGAGGCCCCCCAAGAGCGCACACGAGGCCTCCAAGCTGGCCTCCAAGACGGCCCAAGGGGCCCCCAAGACGGCCTCAAGAGGGTCCAAGGAGACCTCCAAGACGGCCGAAATTGCCTCCAAGACGGCTAGGATGGCCCCGAGATGCCTCCAAGACGGCCCAAGATGCACCCAAAACGGCCTAAGATGTTCTCAGGGTGGCGCAAGACGGCCCAAGAGGCCCCCAAGAGGCCTCCAAGACGGCCCATACTGCGTCCAGGAGGTCTTCCAGGAGGGCACGAAGAGGCCAAAATCATTGATTTCCCCCGGATGTTGCAACGAGCTTGGCATTTGCTTCTTCTCGGCATTCCGACGGCTCAAGACGGCCAAAAAAAAAACCAAGATCGCCCAAGAGGCCTCCAATATGGCGCCAAAACGACCCAAGAGGCCTCAAGACGCCCAAGATGGCCTGTAAGAGCCCCTGATCTGCCCCAAGAGGGCCCCAAGACGACCCAGACATGTCCCCAAGACGGCTTCCGACGGCGCCAGACAAACCAGGAACGCCCTAAGACGGCCAAGGATGCCCCCAAGAAGCCCCTCAAGGCCCCCCGAAACCCTCCAAGAGGCCCCCCGGAAGCTCCCAGGGAGTGTCCCAAGAGGCGCCCAAGAGGCCTTTTCCTCCTCCTCCTCCTCCTCTTCCTCCTCCTCCTCCTCCTCTTCCTCCTCCTCCTCTTCCCCTCGCCCCCACACGGCCCCCAGGGATGGCCTGAAGAGGCCTTCCGAGGCCTACCCTAGCTCCCAGAGATCTCTCGGTTCATCCTGGTTGCTCGCTTTGTTTCCCTACATGTGTCCCGTCGTACCTTTTCCCGTCAACTCCCGTGGGCAGGGTTTCTGAGATGGGCCGGTGGGGATTTTTCCGTCGCGGCCGCAAGCGGAAGCGCAGGCGGTGTCCGAAGTCAGCCTGGGCTACGAGCCAAACCTGATTACCCTAGCGCGCGAACTAACGGCCGCCGGAACAGCCGCCGAGGGACGCTCAGGAGCGACGCCAGGGACTGAAGGCAGAGCTGCAAGAGGTGCCAGGTGTGCCAGGCGGCTGAAGTGCAACCGTCCCAGGGGCGAGACCACCGGGAAAGCAAACGAAATGTACCTTGTCGCGCCAAGCGCCAAAGGTAAACGAGCCACCCGAGCAAAGCACGGCATTGCGTGGGGCTGCTGGGGATACTTTTTAAGCCAGCGGCCGCGGGCGAGCGCGCCGGCGGCGTGTCAGGTCAAAGCGGGCTACGCAGAGACTAATTAGGCAAAGGAAACGCGGGAACAAACAAACAGAGCGGCGCGCGAGGCGACAACTAAGCGCGGCCGAGGCCTCATATGGGGGGGCTGTCGGGACTGAGACTGAGGGGAACTGCCAGCGCGCACAGCTGCAAGTCCGTCGGAGGCGCCAAACGTCGGAAAGTCAACGACGGCCAGGGACAACTCCGAGAGAGAAAACGTGATACCGTACCTCAAACGACTGCGTAGGCACCAGGGTGGCCGTGGCCAACGAAACGTCGGTCGAGGTAGGAAAGAGACATGCAAAGGCGAGGCACCAGACGGCGCGGGGCGCGAAAACCAGGGTGGTCCGAAGGACCGTCGGCCAAAGAATTGTTGCCAGAGGCGAGAGCGCTGGCGGGCTGCAACTCCCAGGCTGGCGGAAGCCGAGAGATCCCTGGCAGCAGCGCGCGCGAGTGCGGGGAAGCGGCATAGCCGCGACGCAAGCCAAAATGGTGCGGGTCACCACGTACCTGTGCGAGAAAGGGCGTCAGGTTGAGCCAGCACGGGCCCGACGAGGCACAACGCACAGGGCTGACACCAGGTAGGACGAGCGTACGAGTACCTCCAATGAGCGGAAGCCGAACAAGGACCATCCGCACGCACGGAGCTGCTGGGGATACGCGAAGCGTGAAGAATTGGGCACCGTCTCGTTGCAAACGCTGCCAGGCAACGGGGTGGCAATGGGAGCTCCACATGGTAGGCGGATCGCGCCAACGAGGGAGGTGAATTCCTGCTGTCCCGTCGTCATTGAGAATTCATCGAGCTGCTGCCGTCCAAGCGGAAACCACAAAGCTATAGGCGCCTGGTCACCCGTGTGCGGATTGATTCGTTGCTCATGTGATTCGTTGTCGTGTGTATTACATTGTGGTCGTGACGTTTCACGCGCGCTCCAGTCTTGGCATGGGAGGCTTGAGCGTCGGATGGTTCCGCCTTCTCACGGGATTGCTGGGAGCTCTTCGACTTCCTTGCGCCGTCATTTGCGATTTGAACATGAGTGTTCAGGAGCTCCGATAGACAAGCCTCGTGAACAAAAAGCTTGGGGGGTGATCGTGCAAGCGCGCGTTGTCGCCGCCTGCAACCTGGCTACGGGCACCCACGTCGACTACCTCCTCTGTAGCCTGTCGGCACGTCTATTTGCGTTGGCCGTCGCACCAGTGCTTGAAGTGCCCTGGGGTCGTCACATAGGGCTC